AGTATTTCCAACTTGGTTCCATTCTCTCCATCACTTTCAGGTACACCTGTCAAACGTAGATTTGGTCTTTTCACATAGACCCATCTTTCTTGGAGGCTTTGTTTCTAAAACTCTTTTTCCTCTAACCTTGTTTTCTTGTTTTATTTCATTAATTTGATCTTCAATCACTGATACCCTTTCTTCCACCTTATCGAATCAGCTATTGAAGCTTGTGCATGCGTCACAAAGTTCTCATGCCATGGTTTTCAGCTCCATCAGATCATTTAAGGTTTTCTCTACACAGTTCATTCTAGTTAGCCATTTGTCTCACTTTTTTTCAAGGTTTTCAGCTTCCTTGCGATGGGTTAGAACATTATCTTTTAGCTCACAGAAGTTTGTTATTACCGACCTTCTGAAGCCTACTTCCATCAACTCGTCAAAGTCATTCTCCTTCCAGCTTTGTTCTGTTGCTGGCGAGGAGCTGCAATCCTTTGGAGGAGAAGAGGCGCTGTGGTTTTTAGAATTTTCAGCTTTTCTGCTCTGGTTTTTCCCCATCTTTGTGGTTTTATCTACCTTTGGTCTTTGATATTGGTGACTTACAGCTGGGGTTTTGGTGTAGATGACGTTTTTGTTGATGTTGATGCTGTTCCTTTCTGTTTGTTAGTTCTCCTTCTAACAGTCAGGTCCCTCAGCTGCAGGTCTGTTGGAGTTTGCTGGAGTTCCACTCCAGACCCCGTTTGCCTGGGTATCACCAGCAGAGGCTGCAGAACAGCAAATACTGCTGACTGATCCTTCCTCTGGAAGCTTCGTCCCAGAGGGGCAACTGCCTGTGTGAGGTGTCTGTTGCCCCAACTGGTAGCTGTCTCCCAGTTAGGCTCCACGGGGGTCAGGGACCCACTTGAGGAGGCAGTCTGTCCATTCTCAGAGCTCAAACACTGTGCTGGGAGAACCACTGCTCTCTTCAGAGCTGTCAGACAGGGATATTTAAGTCTGCAGAAGTTGTCTGCTGCCTTTTGTTTAGCTATGCCCTGTCCACAGAGGTGGAGCCTAGAGGCATTAGGTCTTGTTGAGCTGCAGTTGGCTCCGCCCAGTTCGAGCTTCCTGGCCACTTTATTTACCTACTAAAGCCTCAGCAATGGCGGATGCCCCTCCCCCAGTCAGGCTGCCACCTTGCAGATGGATCTCAGACTGCTGTGCTAGCAGTAGGCAAGGTTCCGTGGGCGTGGGACCCACCAAGCCAGGCAGAGGAGAGAATCACTTTGTCTGCGGGTTGCTAAGACCTTGGGAAAAGTGCAGTATTTGGGTGGGGGGTGTCCTGTTCGTCCAGGTAATCTGTCACAGCTTCCCTTGGCTAGGAAAGGGAAATCCCCTGACCCCTTGCACTTCCCAGGTGAGGTGATGCCCCACCCTGCTTCAGCTCCCCCTCCGTGGGCTGCACCCACTGTCCAACCAATTCCAATGAGATGAACAAGGTACCTCAGTTGGAAATGCAGAAATCACCGGTCTTCTGTGTCGATCAAGCTGGGAGCTGCAGACCCAAGCTGTTCCTATTCAGCCATCTTGGCAACTCCCTTTTAACTTTTTTTTTGAGATGGAGTCTTGCTCTGTCACCCAGTCTGGAGCACAGTGGTGCAATCTCGGCTCCCTGCAACCTCTACCTCCTGGACTCAAGCAATTTGCCTGGCTTCAGTCTCCCAAGAAGCTGAGATTATAGGTGCACGCCTGGCTAATTTTTGCATTTTTAGTAAAGATGAGGTTTCGCCATGTTGGCCAGGCTGATCTCGAACTTCTGAGCTCAGGTGATCTGCTGCCTTGGCCTCCCAAAGTGCTGGGATTACAGGCGTGAGCCACCGCTCCTGGCCTTTAATTTTTTTAAATGTTTTTGAAATTTATCATAGTATATGTTTTAAAGTAAGACTTTAATGTTTACTGTCTCCCCAAATTGCTAACAAGTATTCCATTACCATTTATTGCATAATCTCCACTAGTCTGACGGATTTATAATGCCTCTTTTCTGACATATTACATTTTTATTGCTACCAAGGGCTATTTCTAGGCTTCATGTGCTATTCTTGAATCTGGCTGTTCTTGAGCCAATTAAAACTCACACTAAATTATTACTTCACTAATATGATTCCATCAATAAGCCCAAAACTAACTTAATAAGTACTGATATTTTACCAAAAATGTGTTTCTATCTAGAATCATTCATTTAATCATTCATTCAGATTCTTTACAACTTTCAATAGTTTTTATGTTTTCTTTGATAGTTCCTATTATCTTTTTGTTAAGGGTATTCCTAGACATTTTATTTATTTTTTTTTGCGATGGAGTCTTGCTCTGTCACCCAGTCGAGTGCAGTGGCATGATTTTTGCTCATTGCAACCTCCGTCTTCTGGGTTCAAGTGATTCTCATGCCTCAGCCTCCCGAGTAGCTGGGACTACAGGTGTGTGCCACCACACCTGGCTAATTTTTGTATTTTTAGTAGTGACAAAGTTTCATCATGTTGGCCAGGCTGGTTTTGACTCCTGACCTCAGGTGATCTGCCCGCCTCGGCCTCCCAAAGTGCTGGGATTAGAGGCGTGAGCCACCCCCCTCGGCCAACATTTTGATTGTTGCTGTTGGAAAATTTTAGAATTCTTAATGCTTTCCATTTGGTCTTTACCAGAAACTGGAAAATCCGGAATCACTGATTTAAACAGATAAGGTGAAAAGAACTAGAAGAACCACTGTGAACAGATAAGGTATCTTGAACCTTGGGAGTTGCTCCATGTGGCGGCTAAAATAGTTCTCTGGAAACATCTGTCTATCTGTCTCTCTCTCTGAGACCATACAGTTTCTAGGTTAAGCACTTAGTTTCCTCAACATTTAAAAGTAGATATTAAAAAATCTGTTACATAATGAAAACATTTTTAATCATTCAAAACATTTTTGTGATAGAATTACCCAGAAAAAGACAGCACTTGCACAGAGGGTTATCCGTATACATTTTCCCCAGGCAGTAAAGGGAATACGTTCTTCTTCCTAATTACAAAAACAAAAAAGTTTAGTCAATCAAGGGATTACGGTAATAAAATTATTTTTCTCCTGACTGGCCAATAAATCTTAGACTTAATTTTAGAAAATTAGTTTGCGTCTCCTCACTCATAATTGCACTTTTTTGTTAATAATTTCAAAGTCATACATCACAAAACACGTGCAGTGTTCATTTTAATAAGTTTTTGGAACATGCAAGCATGAATAAACTGTTTATTGGCCATGACCCGAGCTCAGGAATCTGGGTGTCTGATGGTGCCACGCTGCAAAGCTAAATTCTGGGCTTGTCTTAGGTTTTAGAAATCGCTGATGATAGCGCAGAGCCCAGGCAGGACAAAAAGTTTCCTAGATGTCTGTAATACTAGGTATCCACTATGTGTTTCTTGGTTGGGCTTTATATATTAATTTTGAATGATAAATTTTTAGAGGATTTCCATTTTATAGTTCACAAAAATATATTTAAGTTCTTAAGAGTAGAAATCAACCCTCTACATGATTTACCTGTATTGTAAGAGCAGCCTAATAACAGCTGCAAATACTTACAGAGTGTTTAACTCTGTGCCACGCACTATTCTAAGTAGTTTCCATACATTAACTCAATCCTTAGCTGCAATCATGAGGAAACAACTGTATTATTCCCATTTCATAGATGAGGTCACTGAGGCACAGAGAAGTTAACTAATTTGTCCAACATCACCTAACTAGTAAGTTGCTATGTTCAGACATGAACTCTGGCATCAGAGACTTCACCATCACCCTACAGGCCTCTCTAAACAAAGGGAGGGTATGTGGGCAACAAAAGTGAAATGAGGAACAACCATAAAGAAAAAGGGACCTTCACTTGCAATGTTTTAGCAAGCAACATTTCAAGGGAAATTTAACTTATAAGCTGGCAATTTTAACTATAAAACTGGCAAGTTTAAATGACCAAATTATCTTTTCTTCAGTATTTTTCCCATGTTGCTGGTATTATAAGATTTTTTAGTGCTCAAATGACTTCATAAACATCTAATTTTGTTTAAGTTTTGGCTTTCATTTCTGAATATACAATCTTTCAACAACATATGCTTTGACCCTGTCCTCTCTAGTAAACAGCAGGAACTATTCATAATGGGGATTCTTTGGAGCTTGTTACACTGTGAAAGACAAATGTCACTTTCTACTGGTAATTGAACCTCGTTTTTTTCCCATTTGCAAAAGGAAGAGATTGAACTGTTCCCTCTGGTTCCTTTTAGTGCCAACATTTTGTAAATCTGTGATTCAATTTATAAAACCTATAGTTGGGAACATTTTCAGACATTCTTGGTAAAAGCATTTTCTTTCCAAGAGCTATTCGTATTCAGAACCTACTGTTCTTATGCTGATGACTGCAAGTACAATCAGCTCAAAGTTTTCTGCATTGATGGAAAAGAGCAAGGATGCAGATGATTTAAAAATCATCTTTCAGGGACTTTGGAATATTTATACGGACAGAATACAGTATTTTATTTTTGGAGCAGTGGTAGCAGCAGCAAATCTACCTTTCCAATGACATAAAATACCTAGCACAGTACCTGAACAGAGTTGGACCTCACAAAATACTTTCCTTCTTCCTCCATCCTTTCTCCAACTTTAGGATAAAGGCCACACTACTTTCTGCACATCCCAACCAGAAGGTGGAGCAGTGACTGAGGCTCACTGCAAGATAAAGGGGCAGCTGGTCTAGGATGAATAAGGGGCTAGAATAATGAAAGTATATGTGAAAAATTGAGAATCAACTATAAAAACCAATGCCTCTTTCCTTATGTCACAGTAAAAATTATTTTTTTTTGTATTTTTACTGTTTTTATGAAAGAAGGGGCCCCATTTATCTCCTGTGGCTACTGTTCTAAGCAGTGCTTCCTCACCTTGGCTGCACATCAGAATCACCAAAAGAGCTTTAAAAAAATCCCTGTGCTCAGAATACCCCCAGGTTACCAAGTACCAGAGTATGTAGTGATGGAACTCAGGCATCAATAGTTTTTAAGCTCCCCCAAGTGATTCTAATGTGCGGCCAAGGAGGAGAACCACAGCACTAAGTAGATTAAACTGCACCTAAATACGACCCTCCTTACCTGAGTAATCTCATTTATCACTACGTGAGTACATCGTGCTTCATATTCTGGTCGGGCTTGTTCTTCCTGCTGTAACTCAACAGTATCCCATTCATACTCAAGTTCTGCCTGGCGTCGCTTCCAAAACTCCAAAAACAAGGTAACTAACAGAGAGACAGAACAGCTCGTGTGGATTTTCGATGATGATTGATGTTTCAGAAATCTGTACTGAATAATATTCATTATCTATTGTACTGGCCTGTTTTCACACTGCTATAAAGAACTACCTGGACTGGGAAATATATAAAGGAAAGCAGTTTAATTGACTTACAGTTCTGCATGGCTGGGGAGGCCTCAGGAAACGTACAATCATGGTGTAAGGCAAAGGGGAAGCAAAACACATCTTACATGGCAATAGGAGAGAGAGAGCAAGGCGGAAAGTGCCACAGCTTTAAACCATCAGATATCATGAGAACTCACTCACTATCATGAGAACAGGATGCGGGAAATCCACCCCCATGATCCAATCACCTCCTACCAGGCCCCTCCCGTGACACGTGGGGATTACAATTTGACATGAGATTTGGGTGGGGACGCAGAGCCAAACCATATCATCCATAATACTTCTGTATATGGCAAATCAAATCTAAATTATAGGAGATACTACTATTTAAAAGGGAAAAACATGATTTTAAAGAAAATGTTGGTAATTTACAACATTATGAAATAGACTATAGATTCTGGGAAAGGCAATGTGATGGTCAGAAGACATGTGAGTATGTCTGACACTGAAGCATATGTTCCAGCACCTTATTGCCAACTAAAACACAAAAAATGGTCACAGTTCCAAAGGAGCTCATGGTCCATCCTTAATCTGCTTTTCCCCACACCCTCCTTCTTGTACTCTCCTTTCCTTCCTAAGGGCGTAAAGGAGAAGAAGATTTATATGGGATGTCCCAAATAAATTAATATTCACTCATAAGGAAAACTGATGTTTTTCTCAATCTTATGTAAAGTATGACTAAAATAATTTTTTTAGGAATCAGAATTTTTAACTTTAAATACTAAATAAAACATTAAATGTTAATTGAAAAATGCAGTTTCAGGGCAAATACCCTATGCCCTTCTTTTAATCAGACTGCTAACCCTAAGTCCTTCCTATAAAGAAATTCCGTAATTACCACTCTTCTATTTACAAACATTCGTTGAGTGTCTACTATCAGCTGGGAATAAAGAGAAAACAAGACACAGTCCCTGCTTCAAGGAGCTCCTAGGTGTTTGGGAATTATACTGTCCTTGAAGTGACAGGTATAGTTGCTTATTAAGAGGGATATGATAAAGGTAAGCACAGGTTGCTCTGGGCACATAGAGCCAGAACATTTAACTAGGTGTTTCCGGGAAAGACATCCCAGAGGAGGGGACCACTGTGATGAGTCCTGAGATGCCTCAGAGCTGATTAGGTGACAGCGGTGGTGGGTGGAACACTAAGGCCACCTGCGAGCTGCACATGCAAAGGCAAGGTGGCCAGAGAGCCAGGTACTTTCCCAAAACTGCAAATAATCTGGTAGTAAGCGAAAGGTGTGATGGAGGTGGGGCAGCCAGGTAAGAGCTCTGCAGGGGCACATCACAAAGGGTTTGCTGTGCTTTGAAAGGAGTTTAGAGAGTTTAACGTACAGGTGGAGGAGCCTTTGAAGGTAGTCTAGAGTGAGACTAGGGGCAGGGAGACCTACTGGCAGGTACCTGATGTGGCAGGATCCCTGAGGGATGTTGAGCAGGTAGACAGATGAATGCTGGTATGACAGAAGGATGCTATCCAGGTTTCTGGCTCAGGCAATATCCTAAATTCTAGTGGCATTCCTTGGAAATAGGAAGTGTGTTAAGAAGGTCAAGTGTGTGGTTTGGTTATGATCAGATGCAATGCGTGTGGACTACTCAAGAAGAAATGTCCAGTAGACAGGTAAAAGTCTACAACGTAGGAGGAAGATCTGGGTTGAGCTGGACTTTCACTGTTTTAAGTGGCAACTGGGGCCATGAGAGAAGGAGATTATTTAATGAGGTGCAGGGTAATCACACCCTGGCTGCACGTAAGAAGGACCAGGGAGCTTTTACAGAATACCGAGCTCAGCTGCCACCCTGTAAATTATGATTTTTGGTCTGGAATGGGGCCTGAACACAGTTGCTTTGCTTTTTGTTTGTTTTGTTTTGTTTTTAAGGTTTAATACGCAGTCAGGGTGGAGACTCACTGAAGTAGAGAGTGAAGAGAGCCAGAATGAAATCCTGCAGACCCTGCAGCGGGCAGCCTGAAATGCAGGAGGCAGTCTTGGGATGCTCCTGTAAGGAGCAAGAATCCAACACCCCCCAATGGCAAAGACAACTGAACATGTTTAAAAGCATTCACTTCCTAAAAGTGTTTGTTTTGACTACTACTTTTCCAGTAAGTTAGAGTAGAAATAACCTGGATGTTGGAATCAGGATCAAACTGTTGAGTGTTTTATGCAGAGGGTGATGGCTACTGAGAAACAACCCAGACATTTGTGCTTCTGTACCTGCCCAAGGGGAAATGAAGTGAGTATTGGCTTCTTTGTCAATGGGATGGAACTCTAGAGGGCACCATGTTCTTTTGTGGACTGAGCTGTGACTGGGTGGTCTTGCTGCCCGGCTGAGCCATGCTGGTCTCAGGTGGCAGATTCTCCCCAAAGAGACCCTGTTGGGAGGAATGAGCCACCCATGAACCAACCCTTCTTAGGCTGCATATGAAGCAGTATAACATACACCACCCACTTACTAAAGCCCCCCCAAGGTTCTGCATCTCCTTGATAAAACTCCCATACACCTCAATCAACAGAGGACCCTACTTTTTAATCTACCAAGAATCCTACCGCCAGTATTGCATATGCCCCCACCCCTGAAGCTCCCTCCACTCTGTCTCCCTCTCTGTAACTCTGAAATCATTCCAGTGGTCATGTGCATTCTCTCAGAAAGAGCACACTTTATTCCCTATGTCAACCCTTCTTCTGCCCTTCAAAATATTAATACATAGCACTCATGCATCCCGACCTGTATCTGCTTCAAGGTCTACTGTCTATCATACCCACTGGAATGTCACCTTCACATGTGCAGGGATTTGGTTTTCTTCATAGCAGAAGGGACATAGTAGGCACGTAATGAATGAATGCACTGAATGGACAAACTGAAAGAAACCAGCCAGAAACTGGAGGACCCCCCGACCTGGGGAATCATCCACTCAGAGGTCCCAGCTGACTCCAACTGCTCACCTCTACACATAACCATCCACTCTCCTTATTTCCTGCTACGCTAGTCTACTTGGGCCTTCAGTACCTCCTGCACAGATGTACCTTGATTTATCATGCTTTACGGATAGTGTTTTTATCTTCTTACGAATTGATGGTTTGTGGCAACCCCACATTGAGCCTGTATCAATGCCATTTTTCCAACAACATGTACCCACTTTGTGTCACAGTTTAGTAATTCTCACATTTCAAATTTTTCATGATTACTGTATCTTTTATAGTGGTCTGTGATAAGTGATCTTTGATGTTACTATTGTAATTGTTTTGGGGCAATATGAAGTGCACCTATATAAGATAGCAAAATTAACAAATGTGTGTGTTCTGACTATTCCACTGATTGGCTGCTCCCCCATCTCTCTGCCTCTCTTCTGGCCTCTCTATTCCTTGAGATGCAATAATAGTTGCATCTAACTGCTAACTCAACAATAGTTCCATCTGATGCCACAGTGAAATTAGGCCAATTAATACCCCTACAATGGCTAAGGTGTTCAAGTGAAACAAGACTCACACATCTCTCACTTTAAGTAAAAACTAGAAATTATTAAGTTTAGTGAGGAAGGCGTATCGAAAGCTAGGCCTCTTGTGCCAGTTTGCCAAGCTGTGAGTGCAAAGGAAAAGTTCTTGAGGGATATGAAAAGTGCTACTCCAGTGAACACACAAATGATAAAAATGTGAAACAACCTTATTGCTGATAAGGAGAGAGTTTTAATGATCTGGATAGAAAACCAAACCAGCCACAATATTCCCTTCAACCACAGCCTAATTCAGAGCAAGGCCGGAACTCTCTTCCATTCTGTGAAGGCTGAGAGAGGTGAGGAAGCTGCAGAAGAAAAGTTTGAAGCTAGCAGAGGTTGGCTCATGAGGTTTAAGGAAAGAAATCATCTCCATAGCATAGAAGTGCAAGGTGAAGTGGCAAGTGCTAACATGCAAGCAGAACAAGTTATCCAGAAGATCTAGCTAAGATCCTTGATGAAGGTGGCTACACAACAGACTTTCAAGGTAGATGAAATAGCCTCCCACTGAAGAAGATGTCATCTGGGACTTTCACAGCTAGAGCGGAGAAGTCAATGCCTGGCTTCAGAACTTCCAAGGACAGGCTCACTCTCTCGTTAGGGGCTAACGCAGTTGGTGACTTCATGTTGAAGCCAATGCTCATAGATCATTCCAAAAACCCTAGGGCCTCTAAGAATTATGTGAAATCTACTCTGCCTGTACTCTAAATGGAACAATAGAGCCTAGATGACAGCACATCTGTTCATAACATGGTGTGCTGAATTATTTGAAGCCCGTTGTTCACAAAAAATTACTTTTAAAAAAATTACTGCTCATTGGCAATGTATCCACTCACCCAAGAACTCTGATGGAGATGTACAGAGATTAATATTGTTTTCATGGCTATGAACACAGCATCCATTCTGCAGCCCATAGATCAAGGAGTCATTTCAACTTTCATATTTTATTATTTAAGAAATACATTTAGTAAGGTTACAGCTGCCATAGATAGTAATTATTTGGCTAGACATTGGCAAAATAAACAGAAATCTTCTGGAAAAGATTCACCATTCTAGATGCCATTTAAGAGCATTCATAATTCATGGGAGGAGGTCAAGATGTCAACATTAACAGGAGTTTAGGAGAAGTTGATTCTAACCCTCATGGATGACTTTGAGAAGTTCAAAACTTCAGTGGAGGAAGTCATTGCAGATGTGGTAGACAGAGCAAGAGGAACTAGAAATGGAGTCTGAAGATGTGACTGAACTGCTGTAGTCTCATGATCAGACTTGAAGGAATGAGAAGTTGCTTTTTATGGATCTGCAAAGAAAGTGGTTTCCTGAGATGGAATCTACTCCTGG